GGTGCTGGCGCGGGGGCACGCGGCCGTGGCGCGAGCGTGGGCCGCGCTGGAGGAGCTGCTGCAGCTGCTGCTGCGGCACCCGCCGCTGCCCTGGCTCGAGGCCACGGCGGCCGCGTGCGCCGCCAAGGAGGCCGCCGGCACCGCCGACCTGCTGGCCGCGCTGCGCGGCTACCGCAGCTGGGAGCGCGGCCCGTCGCGCTAGCRCACCGCGGCGGCAACACGGCTCTGCCCCGCGCTGCCACCGGCTCTTTCTTTGGGGACGCGGGCAGGGCCACCCCGGTGCCACGCGCAGACCYGTCGCACGTGCTGGTTGTCCCCGTTGCAAAGAGCAGGGCTGCAACAGCGCAGGGCGATGGGGGGATTGGGGAGGGCTCCGCAGCCTCCAGCTGGCCCTGGGAACATGGCCCCGTGTCCCCACGTTCCCTTTCCCTGCGGCGTCTCCCGAAGCGGAGGCTGCAGCGGTGCCCGTCTCGTCCCGTAACTCTCTCTGCTTCCCGGGAATTGGGCAAGAGGCACGGGGGGGTTGTTTGGGTTCTGTTTACGGAGGGTTGGAGTGTGAAATCAGCCCAGAAAAATAATAATAAAAGCAGGGCGGGCTCCCCCGGGCCGCGTTGCAGCAAGGGCGGCCACGGAGCCGCCGGCCTCCTCCCGCGGCGGCCGCGCGCGGCACAAACACGACTCAAGGACGCGGCGGCGCTCGGCCCTGGGAACATCTTTATTTTACAAATACAAAAGCTGCCGGTTCCTGCAAAAGAGCAGAAAGACGGAGACGGCCGCAACGCGGCCGGCACARGGCAGGAAGCGGTCCCGGGGCCGTGAGAGGGGCGACACTGTCCCCRTGTCCCTGTCACGGCTGGCGTCGGGGCTCAGCTCTGGTGCCTCTGTTGCCCAGTTTGGGCTGTGGGTGCCAGGGACGGCCCCGGGTCAGGGGGGACCCAAGGGCTGYGAGAAGCCCCAGGGGACAAGCCCGGTCCCAGCACGGCCACCCCGCTGGGACCTTGGAGAAGCTCAAGACAAAAAGAGCATTGTGGCCAGTGGCAGCGGGGCCAGGGAGAGCCCTGCTGCCTCTGCCCCACTCGGGGACGGCCAAGGAGCAGGGGGCACAGAGGCCCTGGGGCTTCTTCCAGTCCCGGCCCCCCACGCCGGGGCGGAGGGAAGGGTCCCTGCTGCCCTCCCCTCGTCACAGCCAGCAATGCCTCAAGAAACAGACACTAGGGATTTCCTTTCATTAAAAAAAAAAAACTTTATATTCATTTCATGGCGGTTGAAATCACAAGAAATTAGGTGGGAGAGAGGAAAAAAAAAAGAAACCAAACGAGGGGACAAATACAGACAAACAGCAGAGCCTCCCCCCGAGTTCGGTGCTTTCGCAGGGGCTGGGGCACGGGACAAGACCTAGGACATCAGCTACTGTGTGACTTAGTGAAGGAACTCGGCGAGGGCCGGTGTCCCTGCGCGGGCGGCGGCGACGTCCTCCCGGCGGCAGCCGCAGCCTCAGCTCTCCTCGGCGTCCCCRGCGGCCGCGGCGCTCGCAGAGTCCTGCGTGCTGCGGGACGGAGCAGAGAGCCCATGAGCCGGAGCCGCAGGGGCGGGAACAGCCCCCGGCAGCTCTGACCCCACACGGCCGTGGGTAGCTTCCTCRTGGGATAATGGGAATGGGGAGAGGGGCCGGGAGCCCCGGCTCTGCCCCCCACTCCCTCACTCACTTGTTGTGGGTCTCGGCGGCGGCTGCCTCGGCCTCTCCCGCTCTGGCCCCTTGGCTTTTGTCTCGCTCCTTCTCCTCGGCGCCGTCCGCCTTCTGGGACAAGGACTCTCCGTTGACAGGGCCTGACAAGTCTGCAGCGAAGGGAGAGGTTCAGAGGCCCGGGCACCAGGGTAGATCTCACCCAAACTGGCCCACAAGGGTGGGCAACACGAGGACTCAGGGCCAGATCCAGGCTCCTGCAGGGGACGTGTGGCCGAGCGCCTGTCCCCAAGTTCCCGACCGCAGCAGCTACAGCAGGGAGGGCCCCAGACACCCCGTTGCCAAAGCCTGGAGCAGCCGCCGGGGTGGATTTTCCCCGCCAGCTGCTCTGGGAAGGCCCCGTCTCTTGCAGCAGCACCAGGACATCCCCAGACAGGGACCTGGCTGGGCACAGGGCCACGTAATGATGGCAGATCCCGATCACGAGCTGCCTGCGCAAGAGTCCGAGCGGGCAGCCAAGGGCGGCTCCGAATTCCTCCAGCTCCCTGGTGCCCCGGAGGCTCCAGGGCGAGGGTCACCCTCCGCTCCCACTGCCAGGAGCAGTTGGCATCCAGCCCCCTGCCCAGGGAACGCGCAATCCCTGGGCTTAGCCGCGCTCCGCTCGGGAAGCCGGGATTCAACCGCCCCTCCTTGAGGCGGCTCCACAGCCCCTGTCCTCTCCTACAAACTGCAGCACAAAGCCAGAAAAGTCCCTGCAGCTCCCAGGGACCAGAAGTGCCACGTGTGGCTGCAAACCCTCCACGTTTACACCCCCGGGCACCAGCAGGAGCCACGATGCCCCAGGAAGGGCCCTGGACTTGCTACACGTCCGAYGCGGTCAGGAACGTTACCAGCATTTGCCTCCTCTTCACCCTTCTCATTCCGYATCTCTCCACCCGATAACTTCTCCGGAGCCTTCTCTGCATCCCCCTTGTCCTTCTCCGGCCCGGCTTTGCTGCCTTTCTGGATCGCTTCCATCTTTGGTCCCAGGACGCGCGACTTCAAGCGGGTGTAGACCTCRGCGGCCTTCTCCATCACGTCCTTGTTAGCTTTATAGCGACGGATCTGTGACAGAAACGGGGACGASGGACCCGCGCTGGAGCCGAACCGGCCCCCAGGGGCTCGCTCCCTGCTCCGGGGGCTCAGCCCTCCAGCCCACCTTCTTCAGGGTGGCCACCACGTCAGTGTGTTTCTGCAGGATGTGAGAGGTGACCTGGAGCGAGCCCAGCTCCTCCAGCGCGTTCAGGCACCGCTTGATGTCCTGCAAGGGAGGGCACAAAATCAGAAAGGGCCTGGAGGACCTTCCTGGGGTTCCGCCTCGCCACGCATGGGCAGCGGGACGAGTAAAGCATCTCCAGCCACTCACCGGGTTGTCGACCTTCAGGGCAAACTTGATCTCACTGTGAAGCTTCTGGAGTTTCTCTTCAACTGTGGGCTCTGGAGAAGCAAGGGAAAGACCAAACAGCAGGTCACTGACCTCCGGGGCAGAAAATGCCACAGCCCAGAGTCTGAAGTGCCTGCAGGAAGCTCAGTCCCCTCCAACACCCTCCCAGGACCACAACAGCGCTGGGTAGGGCCCAGCACAACCACACATGGTCCTGCTAGAGAGATGCTTCCCTTCCAAGACGGGGGAACAGGGCTGGATCCCTTCTCTCTCCTCCCCAAACATCTCCTCCTATCTCAGATGCAACGGTGCTCTCACCCTTTTTCTTCTCCATCCTCCTTTCTGGGATCACGTCAGACTTCTTCCGGCCTCGTTCCACTTTGAGAGGTCTACAGGAAAAGAAGGAAAGAGGCAAGAGGGTTCAGACACCTGGCGGCCCGGACACACCGCCCTGCCCGTGGGGCACGACCCAGCCACGCTCCACCCCTGCCCCAGCAACCCAGCACCACAAAAAGGCAGAGCCCAAAGCAACGTGTTCGAGATCCCCCCAGGATCTTCCCTGCGACATCGGAGACCAAAAATAACAGAGCTCAGACTGTTCTCCAGCCCCCACAGATGCTGCTATCACAGAGAGCTCCAGAGGGGACCCCSACGCCCACCCCAGGGTCTCAGCCAGGACACACAGGGCGCTGGCAACGGAACGTCTCTGTCCCCAGAGGAAGAAAGCACCAAGCCCAGGGAAGGGAGATGCTGACTTGCTCCGCGCCTTCTCCTCCGCTCGGCCTCTCTTCTCCTTCTGGCTCGGTTTCCTTGACAACTCCGAGGGCTGCTTCTTCGCCGGCTTCTTTACCTTCGGGGAGAGAACAATGCAGGCGAGAGCGGCCTCCGCGCCGCGGGCCTGCCCAGCGGCACRGGCAGCCCCAGCCGTGCCTTCCCTCAGCGCCCCGAGCCAGCACAGGACAGGAGCCTCCCGCCACCGCGGACACGCGCTGGCCACTGTGGCTAGGAGCTCCCGACAACCCCTGTCCRAGCTTCAGTCGAGTCCTGTGGACCCTTCCCGAATCCCTGGGGCTGGCAGGGCAGGGAGAGCACAGCTGAGGTGCCAGGACTGCGGCTGGAATCCCAGGCTAGGGCAACATCTACTTTTTCCAAGGTGTTGAGCTGCCAGGGACACAGCCCTTCCCGGTGCTCTCTGGGCAACTCCAGGGTGACAGAGGATCAAGCCACAGGTCACGGCCAGCCCTGGAGGTCCCTGCTGACCTGACGGAAGGGCACGGGCCGTGTGTCTGCCCCCGGCTCCTCACACTGGCACAGATCTGTGCTCACCTCCTTTTCAAGCTCTAGTTCGGAGTCTGAGGAGGAGGGGGCCTTGGTCCGGCCCTTCCGCCCCTTCTTGGCCACCTCCTCGTCAGCGCTGCTGTCGCTGTCCGAGTGCATCTCCTCGCCCTTCTCCGCCTTCTCCTTCCTCTTCTCTTTCTCCTCCTTCTCCTGCTCCCGGAGCCGACGGATCTCTTCCTCCTGTTCCCTCTTCCTCTTCTCCTCCAGCTCCCGCCGCCGCTCTTCGTCCCGTCTCTTCCACTCACTGATGCGGTCCACGTCRCTGTCGCTGTCGCTGCAAAGGACAGGGCACGCTGGGACCCCTCGTGTAGAGGGGGACACTGGCGACCCCCCAGCCTAGCCCTGGGGGTGACAGTGTCCCAGTGGGGCTGTGGTCAATCTCACCTGTCGCTGCTGGAGCTGGTGGGGACACGTTCAGGCTTCGGTTTCCTGCCGCGGGGCTTCGGAGGGGGTTTCTCAGCTGCAAGGCAAYGGGCAGATGTTCAGCACGAGCCCAGGTGGTTGCTCTGGTGAAAAAACAGCCCTGACCAGAGGAACCGACAGCTTTGGGCTGGAAAACTTCCACAGTAAAAGGGCTCCCCTCGGATGTCCAGCAGAACCCCCCAACCTCAGGTGCTTTGCTGGCTCCTGAGGGAGCTGGAGGTGTCTGCTGTGGCAGGTGAGGTGTCCTTGGCATTACCTGGCTTCCTGCCCCGCGGAGCTTTCTTCACAGACACATCTGAATCCGAATCGGAGTTGGAGTCCGACTTGGTCATGTCCACAGCTGCATTTCCCATCTCCGAGTCCGAATCCACTTTGGAGTCTGAGTCGGAGCCMGACTCCACTTTCTGTAAGTGGAGTGGGACTGGTTGAGGGGGTGGCCACAAATGAGGCCCAACACTCAGAAACAAATGACCCAGCCAGGGCACTGGGACACAAGCAGGGTCCCTTCTACCGTCAAAGCCACAGAGAGCCCCTGGGCAGAGCTCTYCCACCCTCCCTGTCCCTTCCTTCCTGCAGCACCTCGGGGCCAGGCTGGGTTGGGGTACGAGGTCCCCCCCTTGTCTGGCACCAGGCCATGCCTGACATGGGCACAAGCCACATCCTCAGCTCCGGGCTGAGGGCAGAGGGGCAAACAGGGCAGAGGGGCAAAGAGTGAAGCAGCACAAAGCCAGCAACTCCAGGAGCCTTTTACCTTCTTCTTCCTCCCTCCTGCAGGCATCCTCCGGGGAGCCCTGGCCACCGGCTTCTTCTCGGGAGTAAAGTCCTGGAGAAAAAGGGAGATGTCAGGGAGTGGGGAGCCATCTCTGCTGGTGGCTGAGGAAGCCAGGCAGTTCCTCCCGCAGCCTGACCCGGTGCCATCGTCCCCACAGATGGCAACGCTCTTCCCAAGCCCGCTCACCTGGTCACTGTTTTTCTCCGACTCAGACGACGTGTCCGAGTTCTCTTCCTCTGTCAGGGAGGGGCTGCCCTGATCCAGGTCGCTGGAAGATTTCCGAGGCCGTTTTGTCACCGGCATCTGGTACCAAGAATGGATGCCATGAGAGATGTCCACCCCCTGACCCAGCAGCCAGCACTGTGTGGCAGGGGGCTTTGCCCATCCTCCCTCAGCAGCGCTGCAGGAACAGCCCCGCGTGCTCAGGAGAAACACGCAGCTCTGGACAGGGCTGGCCTAGCACGGAATAAGTGAGACGGTCACCRGACCCCCTAACACGCCACGGACCCCGTCTCCCACAGGGGAGCTGGCTTCTTCRATAGGCTCAACAGGCTCTTTCATTTTGGAGGGAGGTACAGCTCTGTGGTGGACCCCAAAACCATCTCAGGGCTTCCTCCTGAGCAGGACACCCCCCGGACGCCCTCCGTGTGCAAGTGCCTCAGCCTGTGCTCACTTTCATAGCCAAGGACTTTCGCTTGAGCGCGCTGTGATCGCTGCCCTGGTCTGAGTCCTCATCGCTGTCCATTTTTCCTGCAGCGGCGGCAGCGATGGCAGCATCTTCCTCATCGTCGCCTGCATCGCTCCCTCCCATCGGGTCATTCTCGGGAACGTCGCTGTCCGAGGAGCTGGCGGGCTAAAGAGAGCGGAGACGAGAATGGTGTCATTGTCCCAGCAGGGCCGCGACGCGTCGGGAAGGAGAGGAGAGGGGCACAGAAGGGTGAGGAGCGATGGAGAGCGGCACCGAGCGGGCAGGACCACGGGGCAGCATCCCCGCTAGCACAGTCCTGCTGATGGGACCCTCGAGGACAAGGCTCAGCAGCAACGAGGACACTCAGCAGCCCCTGTTCTAACTCCCCCRCGCCCCTTCCCCAAGCACGGACGTCCCGGCCATGCCGACGGTGCCAGCAAGACCGTCCCGCCGGGCGCCTCCTGCGGCCGCGCTCCCCTCGCCAGCACCGCCGCTCTGCCAAAGCCCCGCGAGAGCCGAAGCGCAGCCCGGACRCGACGGGGCCCGGGAGGACGCAGACCCCAAACCTGCCCTGCCCTCAAGGGGCCCAAACAGCCGGGCTGGGGGCTCAGCTCGGCCTCCAGCAGCTGCCCCGAAAGCGGCTGCGCCCTCAGCTCAGGCCCTGCTCCCTGCACAGGGCGCTCCTGGCCCTTCCTCAGCCCGCGCTGGGCTTCCTCACGCGAGCACATCGCACCACGAGGGCTCCCGTCTTCAGCACCGYCTCATTCTCTTCGTGCCTGGCAGGACCGGCATTCCCTAGTGTCGGGATTCTTCCAGCACTGAAGCCTTCCTGCTCGAAGGGCCTCCTTGTCTTTGATGTTTCCTGGCATCTTTCTTCATTTTGGTCTCAAAAGTAGAAAAAAAAAACCCCACCAAACTGCTTCTGCTTCAGTGTCTTCTCCTGCTTTTCCAGCTGCTTCAATCACAATACGGTGGTTGGTGTCAGGGAACCTCCAGCCTTGCTGGGACCTCCGGTGTGGTCTCCATCACAGCGGGCCCTTGGGATGGGGTTTCCTATCCCTGCTGGGATCAGGGCGTCCCGGGCGGCCTCTGGGCAAGGTGGTTCTGTCTCCCTTGCCTGCCGCAACCTCCCGCCCTCCTCTGTGCAGCAGCCCAAGCTGCTCTCCAGCTCCTCAGGAGCCTCYGAGCTCTCCCTTATCCTACATCTGTGATCCTAGGTCAACCGCATCCCACAGCTCCTCACTCCAAACCACGTCCTGGCGGCGGCACAGCCTGGAGCGGCTCCTTCCCTGCACATCTGGGCCTGCCTACGCCAGGGCCGCCTCCGGAGCTCACCTTAAACCCTTCAYACCAACTGCCTACGAAGCCACTTTGGACGCCTGCTGTGAAGATCGCCACGTCCAGCAGGTTGTATCACACCATTACTGTAACAGTGTCCCTCACACACGCAAACGACTGTCACCAAAGAGCGGCCCGTTCCAGGGTCTGCTGAAGGAGCAGGCAGAGGCTTCTGGCCCAGGACTTCAGAAACGGCCGCCGAGAGACGGGCCGGGGACGGCGGGTCCCGCGTCTTGCTCCAGCAGAGAATTCCTGTGCGGCTCRGGACAAGCGACAGAACAGAGCCCCGGCTCCACCACGAAGACAGCAAAGGTGCCCACCCCGAGGACGAGCAGGGCTGGCTGCTCCGCAGAGAGGGGAGAGCAGGAAGGGGAGGCAAGTCCAGCCCGGGAAAGGCGGGTGCGACGCCGGAGCGCCGGGAGGCAGCGAGCGCAGGAGCCGGGGCCGGGCAGCGCGCGGCCTCGCCGCCCGCCCCGCGCCCACACTCACCGCAGGGGCACTGTAACTCGCGTGAGGGTTGTTCTGGATTTCCCACAGGCCTTCGTTGAAGCCTTTTCTCTTGTTGGGCTTCCCATATTTGTCCTTATACTTTTCATAGGGGAACAGGTCTTTGGGGCCCAAGAAGGCGCTGGAGAGAGACAAAGCAGAGGTGAGGCCAGAGCAGAGGCAAGCGGGGAGAGCTGGAGAGGGGAGCGAGGCAGCGCTTACGTCTCGTGGGTGCCGAAGAAGAAGATGGGGTACTTGTTCGGAGGCGGCTTCACGGCGCCGTCCGCGATGTCATCGATCTGAAAGGAAACCCAAAGCAGGAGGTGGTCAGAGAGAGCGGCGTGAGAGGGTCCCGACGCGCTGCCCCGCGGGACACGCGGGCGCCCCGTCTTCGCTCCCGTCATCCTGCGTCCTCGTGGTCCGGGGCTGCCCCGCGAGCCGGGGAAAAGTCTTCGGGGAGGAGCCTTCCCCCTTCCCTCCTCAACGGGTGAGTCCTGGCGGAGCGTCCTCGTCGCCGGCACCTCCAGCCGGATGAACCGGCCTCTCCGTCCGCGGGCGGCGGGAACGACGGAGGCCTCCGGCCGAGGCCGCGCCGGCCTCGCACACGCRGTCCCCCCTGCCCTGCTCGCGGCTCTTCCTACACCCTGGCCCCTTCCGGCTGCTCCTTCCAGGGCTCCTCCGGGTGTTGCTGCAGCGTCACCCGTCCAACAACGCGCAGCCAGGACCGGGTCACCCCCGACTGTGTCTGGGACCCCCCACAGGCTCTGCCCGTGCAGGACGGCTCCGCGATGGGAAGGGGAGCTGGGATCACAGCAGGGGCCGCGGGCCGAGCTCCGGGCGGGATGTCTCCAAGGACGGGGAGCCGAGGGCACCAGCGGGCGAGGCTGGAGCGAGCACTGGGATGGGGGACACACGGGACCCCCGAGGGGCTGCGGGCCCCACTCCGCACGGGATGCCCAGGGAGGAGCCGCTTGGAGCCCCCCGGGCCGGGGCTGCCGCCGTCCCGGCACCGGCGCGTGCGGGACCCGCGTCCCAGCCGGCACCCGACCCACATCCTGCTGCGGGGGCTGGTACCGGACCCCATCCAGTGCCAGAGACACGTAYGGATGCAGGAACCGGTACCAGATCTCCGTGCCCGTGCAGCGGCTGGTACCGGAGCCCGGCCCGGCACAGCGGCTGGTGCTGAACTCCATCCCAGTGCGGCTGCTGCCACCGAATCCCATCTCAGTACCAGCGCCTGGACCCGTTCAGGTACCAGACCCCCATTCCGGTTCAGGTACCGGTACCAGACTCCCATCCCAGTACAGGTCCCTGTAACAGATCCCCATCCTAGTACAGGTAGCAGTCCCCCATCCCACTACAGGTTCCGGTACCAGTCCCAGTCCCGGAGCTCACTTCCCGCTCCGGATTCGCCCGCATCCCAGTTCGGGATGTCCATCCCAACCCGGGTGCCGCCAGGGGCCCCATTCCCGGTAACAGACTCCTGTCCCAATGTCCTGGTCCGGGACGGGGTTCCAGTGGCCTGTTCCCAGTGTCCCAGACCCGTTCCCACTGCCCAGGTCCCGATAACCTGCTCTGGGTGCCCGGGTCCCAGTGTCCCAGACCCAGACTCGGTTTCGAGTCCCATTATCCCGGCCCAGGTATCCCGGTGTCTCAGACCCGTTCCCGCTGCCCAGGTCCCGCTATCCCGGTCC